TATTATATGGTATGGGAACCAATAGCTTGTGAAGTTGTTGTCAATAAAGATGTTTCATTGTAATAAATCTCCATCAAACAAAATCATTATCTAGATCATTGAAAGAGTGGAAAAATCTCAAACTCAGAGTACCGACAAGAAAAAATCTCCACTCACAAATGTTGTTGAGGGGAAAATTAATCATCATGTGATTGATGATGTGACATAAGTATAAGCTCTCATATAGATGTAGCATATTCTTGAACAGTAGAAATTAAACGCACAGATTATCGTTGATGAGCCACAAATATCCACATCTTACGATATAGATCAACCAAGTTTTTCTATTAGGAGATCATCAAATCAAATTAGTAGAGCACTTGCAAATTTGACCTGATTCATTTGTACTTGAACATCTTGACATCAATAAGGAGGATGGTGATCGCTTTAGGTTAATTTTGGAAGAAGAAAACCTTTTTCTTTCAAAGAAGCTCAAGACTTTGTGAATAAGCTTGAGTGAAATGCTGCTATGAAGCATAAAATGCACTTGTAGGTGGATAATAAGATCATGAAGCTTTGTCTATTTGCAAATGGATGTATAAGCTTAAATACATTTCAGTTCATGACAAATAGATGATTATCAAAGCAAGTTAGTGACTAGAATTTTCACACAAGAAAAAGATGTGTGCTAAAAAAAAAACTTTCACGTGTAGCAAAATATGCTACAATTTGTATGATACGAGCATTTGCTGCAATGTTTTGTCTTGTTATGAATCAGATAGAAATAGTTATAGCATTTCATTATGAATCTCTAAAGGAGAAAATTTATATGATACAATCAATATACGTAGAAAAGAAAAGCTAAGAGAAGATTTGTAGATTATTGAGATTGGTTTATGGATTAAAGCAAGCTTCTATATAATGGAATGCATGATTTGATAAATTCATGAAAACACAAAGTTTTTCTTGAATGTGTATTATCTTTATGTATACATGAAGAAAATGAATAATGATATTTTAAATCTTATTATTCTATTAATATACGTGAATAGAATTTTCATCTTGGCAAGGAATCAATCTGAGGTCGACAAATGCAAAAAACAAATGACGTATATATTTAAGATGAAATATTAGAATAAGTCCAATGGTATATGGGATGGATGTTCATCAAAATTTGATAAAAAAAATCTATGGTTATATCAAGTCAAGTACGTTAAATCCGTGTGCTTGATATGTTTAACATGATGGATATTTAAAAAGTATGGATTACTTTTACAAAATATTTTTGAACTTTAGAAGCTCAATGTCCAACTAATGTTATTTATAGATCAAATATATCATTTGTTTCTCATGACAAAGCTGTAAACAAATTCAAGTAGTTGATGGTGTGCACAAGGCATAATATTGCTTCAGCTATAAGCAAGGTGAGCATGTACATGTGAAATGTAGGAAGTTGCATTGGAAAATGGTGAATTGGATACTTAGCTATCTGAAAAGTACTAAGGATTATGGGTAATTTTTCAATGATTTATTAACAATGTCAAATCCTTGCTAAGCTATATGATGCTAACTATGGATAAGATTTGAATCAACGTAAATTTACAACTCAGTATGTGTTTACGTTTAGTGATGAATATATTAGTTGGAAATATATCTTGTAGAAGTGCATAGTTTAGTCTACACTGAAAGTTGAATATGAAGCGCTAACAAAAATAACAAAGAAAATTATTTCATTGAATAAATTTATCATTGGGATGGAATTGAAACAATAGATTGTCAGTCTTCATTATGGTAAAAAAAAGTGCGTTATCTTGTTGCAAATGATGTGATAGACATAAAAGTAAAAAACATCAAAATCAGGTATCACATGCATTTTTGACAAAAAGATTGAAATGATGAAGATTGATAATAAATTAAATCGAATTGAAATGTTGATCAAAGTTATTTTGTTGGTGAATCATCAAAAATATTATGTTATTATGCAAATTTTGCATGAAAAACACAAGTAGAATTTACTAAAAAAATTGTAATCTTTACATATTTTTACTCTATCATGTTTTGGCTACGGCTTAATTCTAGTTAGCTCTAGTTTAAATATGCTATTTTGTTAGATTTCTTTCTGCAACTTCTCGCAAAATAATTATATAATTTAACATGAATACTAATCCCCGACACATGTGTAAAAGGGGAGATGGTTAGGATTAATACTTGTCAATGACGACCTTGGATTGCTGATGTTGCATCTATGACGTGTTGTTGGTGACCATGGGTTCAAAGCATGAGATTGGTGAAATTACAGATTGTTAGTATCTAATTAAGGCAAAGAGTTAGATCTCATCACCTCAAACATTGTAAACTGATCATGTGGATACTGCCTTATTGATTTTTTGTGATTCTCTTTGTGTGATATGTCTCTATGATTGTTTGATCTTCCATATATGATTCATTATTGGGAAAACCCACGCGTTTTCATTTGGTTTTGTCTTTGATAATTTTCCATAGTATAGTATTTTGTTATCCATGTATCTTCTTTATTTTTAATAACTAAAATCTTCTTATCTAAATTCATCATCTTTCATAACTTATCATTAAAACACACAATGTTGTATTATTATCCCACCTATAAAATGACAGAATTCACTCTCTATTTCATAAGAGTTGTGACCATTGCATTACATAGTAAAAAACAATTGAATACTTGCATGCGCCCAGGCTGAAAACTATAATAAAATAAACACAAAAAGCAAGCCCGATATTGAAATCTTCCACAGTTCCACAAACCCGTCAGAAGTTAACGTTGGGGCGTTAAATAACGGGTAGTAAAGCTCGTACGCTACAGTAATTGTATCTCGTACGCTCGACCCCGTCCGTACTCCGTATCTAGACAGTCTGGTATTACTCAGCGAAGGACATGGACATGGCCCCGACGCTGGTGGCGCTGCCCGTCGCATCCCTCCCGCCGTGTGTCCGCCAGCATCGGCGGGAAGTCCCGCGCCTCTGTCGCCGGCTGCCCGGGGCTCCAGAAACTCCGGATGGGAGGCGATGATCAGACGAACGGAGCGTGATTCGTGAACGAGTACGGCAGCAAATGCACAATCAAGATCGTCAGGCCGAGTACGAGGATGAGCGGAAGAGGTCGTGAGGGGCAGGAAGGTCCAGCTGTATCGATGTGTAAGGAAAGCAAAGCAAGGCAAAGGAAGCGAAGCGACTGTGGCCGAGGGCGAGAAGGAAAGGAAGTCGTCCACTGGCGAGGAAGAACTTTTTCTGCTCCAGCGCAGATCGCCAGTGAACGGACAAATGGGCAAACACGCGGGAACGCCAAGGGCAAGAGGGCGATGCGAGAAAAGGAGAGATTAGATTCTAGATTGGATTAGGATGCGGGGCAAGCGGCGATCGCGACCGGGTCAGCCTTGGTTCGCTTTTCTTGATCCGAGGGTCGACGGGCCTCCGTCGCGCGCGCAGCGCGTTCGATGGTCGAGTTGCGGAGGCGGTGACGGACCTCATTAGCGGATCATTCCTCTTCAAATGCGCTTTAGGCCGCAATCTAAATGTTGGTGCTCGTGATGTCACCATGTTGACGTGTTCGGGAGGTGATGCGGTGTTGAAGAGGCAGCTTTCTACAGTGGCGGCAGAGAGGCAGGCAGGCAGGCAGGCAGGCGGGCAGACTGACTGGGGATCCCCGCCCGGGTTGTGAATTTCGTCCCGCGCCTGCTGGTTTGGAGGGAAGGCGGTAGTGCAATTTCGAGTCTCGAGGATGTGGTTAGTCATCTGGTTCGTGCTCGTGCGCGAAGCACACTTTTAGTGAGCGAGAAGCTCAAGGGGGTGTGGACTTGGTCAGCAGCGACTGTTTTGTTGATGGCAGTAGGGTGGGAATGTAGAGCCCTCCGATCTCACACAGATTTCGCCTCGGGTGTTCGTTGCTTCCATCGGGGCAGACCTTGGAGTTCGGTTCGACTCAACGATGGCCCTGGATGTGTCGTCGACGAGACAAGGTGCATATGATTCAGCCCGGAAGGGTGGCGTTCCTGTTCGAGTTGCGAAATCAACAGTCACTTGAGATGACGATCTTGTTCACGCGCCTGTCCTTTTCTTGCCATCCAACTCTCCACCTCCCTTGGCGTGGTCTGTGCCGATACCGATTCTATACTGAAGGAAGCGAAATTTTAAACCGGATGCCATCAGTTAATGAATTCTGACACCTAATCCCCAGACGATTAGTTCAGCCCTTCTCACCTACCCTCACATCTTTCTTGTGTTTTAGGGGTTTCGGTCAGACAGGCAAGCCTCAGGACAGCGCAAGAGAGCGTCGTGTGGTCGTCAAATCGGACTGCTTCAGACAGTTTCCACCTGCGCCATGCTACGCAGACTTCTGCGCTAGGGAATGCCCCACGGCTCCGTCGCCCAGTGGGTGAGCACAGGGCGTTGATGAATTCAAAGTTTGAGGATCCCGACGCATGGGACGCATCCACGGCCGTCAGATCCGGTCAAATCCTCGTCACTCTGCGGCGGGTCGTTCCACGAAGCACCATAAAGACCTCGACCACAAGACAGATATGGATGGCAGTGTCGGGCGAGCGAAAGAACCACATCGTCGCAGCATCTAATCACATCATCTCTAGCAACGCTAAAGTCAGATTAGTCTTTACTGGGGCCTCAGAGTCCCAGATCTCGCCGTGCGTGCGTGCGCGACCGCATTAAAGATACGCTCGCAGTCATACTCCGTCGGAAGACGCGAGATAGAAGGACCGTCAGCTGCCGACTCTGCAACCTGATCTTCCATCGTCGCGGTCATCCGATTTCTTCCGTCGCTCGCCGGGATGGCCGTTCTCTGGAGGCCTACATCGCGACACCTCTCTCTTCCCAGCGACGCGAGGTGCGTCAGTGACCCGGTCAGACACTCAGAGCACGAACACGTCGAAATCATTCACTTCACTTCATTTCACAGTTGGCCGGAAGCAGAGGCACAGAGCAAGTGGCAGCCAAAGCGCTCTGGGTTGGTGAGGGTGTGTGAGCCCAGTTGAAGAGTATTGTGATACAGCCACATAAACGTCTTTCATTCACAGGAGAAGGGCTTCAATTGCCCCTACGTGGTAAGAAATAAAATCTTGGAAACATGGTCTGGCAAAGTGACTGAGCGGCGCGAGTGGAGTGTCAGAGGTTGTACAGCCGTAGTCTGGACCCGCACCCAGCTCAGAAAGTAATCTACCTTGGTCATACAATGGCCCTTTCTACGTTCATAGACCAGATGATTTTGTGGTGCCTGAATGCCGAACTTGCTTTAAGGAAAACAAGCACTAATAGGGTGAAAGCAAATCCTTTTCGAAGGACAGCTGGATCTGATCTTTGAATTGGAGGCTCTCCTATGTGCGCTAATAGTGGTCTACGAAGGAGGTAGTAAATCAAGCAATCCTTGTTTTCTTCCGTGTTGAAGTGAGCTCTCGTTCTTCTCCTCTCTTGCTCTTTCGAGATCTCTAGGCATGGTAGACTATTAAGAAGTCCCTAACGTGGCAGGGAGATAACTACAAGTAGAATCCATCAATCTACCAGTGCGTGGCCGCTGTGTGTTTCTTCAAAATTTGCCAAACAATTTAACTGGTAAGTGGCTACCGTGTGCTGCATTAGTGAGATACTAGAAGCAAGAGGAGCGGCAGGAGCAAGCATGCTGAACAGGCTGCAGTTCAAAGTTACGGGTAAACTTTATAAGATATAAATTTGAAAGAAAAGCAAAATGGGGTTTGGGAACTATCTTGGGCCTGACAGTTCGACTGCATGGAGATTATCTGTGGAGTCCACGATCCATTCAGATGTTCTATGAGGAACCATTTCGACTTCTTGACTGCGGATCACTTCCACTTTCTGCCATTCCTCCCATCGCTCCGCTAACCCATCTCCTGAGAGCATGCGCACCACCTCTGCCATCTTCGGTCGGTCCATCGGCGAGCTTTGTGTACATAGTAGAGCTACCTGAATAAGCTGCTCCACCTCGACTTTGTCGTACTCTAGCAAATCGGGATCCACTAAAAATTCAACCTTTTTCTCTCGGAGAAGGCCTTTGACCTGGACAAGAATGCCAACACAGATGCAAAAGATGAGCTCGCAAAGCCTCTTGACAGCAAGCCCACCTAGCAATGGTGAGGCTTTCAATAATACTCAATATATGCATTGGTCGGAACTGACGCAGGTGAGCCTTGATACCAAGCGGAGCACACGTGCTCTTCAGGTTAGGACCCGCACTCACCCAGTCGAGAAGCATAACATCGTCGTCGTTAGCGAGGCGTGCCAGGTCAAACGCCCGCTGTCCGGTGATCAGCTCCAGAAGCATGATTCCAAATCCGAAGACGTCCGTTTTCTCGGAGGATTTTCCCGTGGACAAGTACTCTGGTGCAATATGACCTATGGTTCCGCGAACTGCAGTCGTCACATGAGTGTCCTTGTAGTCCATGAGCTTTGCGAGCCCGAAATCACCGACCACGGCCTCGAACTCCTCGTCCAGCAAAATGTTGGCGGCCTTGACATCACGATGTATGATTTTTGGATCACAGTGATCATGCAAATACGACAAGCCCCGAGCCGATCCCAGAGAAATACGCTTCCGCGTTGGCCAGTCCAGAGGTGCATCTTCTGACCTACGTTCTGCCAGAAGCACAGCCAGCAGCACAGTCAGTCAGCGCAAAGCACATCAAACCGCCAGAGACCAACCTCAAATAGTCGGACCATGTCTTCAAGACAATCTTCACTCGAGTCTTATTGACAAAATCAATGTTTTCGGCAAACACGCTTGCTGCCGATGAGAAGCATACCTCGAAGGCGCGATGCCACACTGCCATTTGGCATGAAGGGATATACAAGCAGCCGTTCGGTGGGGGTCATACAAAACCCTCGGAGCCGGAGCAGGTTGCGATGTACTGCCATACTAATCATCTCAACCTCAGTTTGAAACTGTAGCTCACCACCCGGACTGCGTTCCTCCTTGAGGCGCTTCACGGCTACCAAGGAGCCGTCAGCCAGACGACCCTTGTACACCTTACCAAACCCTCCTCTCCCCAAAATGTTCTTGTTGTTGAAGTTATCAGTAGCGACTTGCAGTTCCCGAAGTGAAAATCGCTTCAATTGTCCTAAATGGACTTCTGGATCTTCTTCAGCTGTTGTCAAACATACGTCCATGTTACATTCAGGATTCTAAGTCAATATGTTGTAAGAACCTCCCTTAACGAGCAGGGATGTCCTCGACAAACAGAGACAAGCGAAGAACTTGTAAATCCCTACGACTCAGAAGTGCATCTTACCTGGGACATCGAAAAAGGCTTCTTGAGGTCGACGGCGCCTCCACCATGCAAAGCCGATAGCGGGAGCGGCAAAGAGAAGAGCCGCACCGGCTGCGACTCCACCGGCGATTGCGCCAGTCTGAGAAGACGGATTTGGATCTGGCATGAAAGTCTACGGTTGAGTTCTCTGACCAAAGTGTATGTCATCAAATAATCTGGGCGGGATCCATAGGAATGTACAACATCATGTAGAATCATCCTGGAGGTGTATCTTTTTAGTATTGTGAAGCATCAACTTACTAGCAGTAGGTGGTGAAGGAGGGGCTTGCACGGGAGGTGGTGGAGATAGCGGAGGTCCGCCTTCACATTGTTTTCCAACAGCCGCGCCACAAAGATCAGGATTCCCGTTGAAACTGCATACGCACAACGACATGCTTATGACATCAGTACCGAATTCCGCAACCCTCCGCAGACGTTTTGCAAGTGTTGTAGAAAGAGATTCGGAAATCTTGTACTTCGTGATCATCCACATCTCGAACATTTAAAGAACAAAGTGAATGCACAGTGCTCTTTGCCTAAGTGTAACTATCTCCATTCACTGATTCCAACACATTGAAGAAAATCAAAGGGTCTGGTGATATCTTGCCTGATAGGGGTGAAAAGAGAGAAAGATCCATTAGTTGGAACTTCACCGCTGAGATTATTATTTGACAGATCACTGCACCCCAGACCAGACGGTCATATACCGACAAAGGACGACAAGAAAGTAAGAACCCAAAACGATTTGGTGAGGCCTACTGTCAGCAACATCGAGAAAAACACGGAAAAATGGCCGAGAACGGACTAACTTACAGCACTTGTAAGCCGGTAATTTCCGTAAGGGACATTGGTATCTGGTCTGTCAAGGAGTTGTTGTTCAATCGACTACATAATCACAATCGCCAAGCCAACCAAGACAAGTTAATTATGAACCATCTCAACAACATACTGGAGTAAGCTTTCACGATGCCCTCCTAAAAATTAAGCCAGCACAAAGAATGGAAGTGGCTGACACATTTTAGTCTAGTATAGCAGAGGGTTGTGAAAGCACTAGACGTAAAAACGCAAGGGTGTAAAACAGGGACAATCGTCCACAATCGAAGAATTTTTGTGTGAAGGCATCAGGACTCACAGAAATCTCAGCATCTGCAGCTTCCCAAGCTCCTCTGGAATTGGCCCCGTAAACCGATTTTGATACAAATCAAGACTGACTAGATTAGTTAGATTACCCAACTCCTTGGGAATATTTCCAGAAATGTTATTGCTATACAACTCCCTGCAAACATACAAGGCGAGGTGTAAGTCTCGTTTAGACCTAGAGTGATAATCTCCATTTCCCTTAATAATTATCTCGTTTGGGAGATGGGAGGTCTCCATTTCCATTGCAAAATAGTAGTCAAATGGTACTCGTCATAAACTTACAAGCGGAAAACATCCATCCATGACTACACAATTTCACATCACTTCAGGAATCTTCTGCAAGACTTACAAGTACTGGAGCTGTGTAAGGATACCCAGCTGAGGCACCAAACCTCCTGAAAGCATGGCATTGCCCAAATCCCTGCAAATTACAAGTGTATTTAGACAAAGCATGGAATTGACACTCTGAAGCGTTCAAACCATCAAACCTGAGACAGTGAATTTCAAAAACTTATCGAAATACTCCAGCGATACATAAGAATGTCTGCGACTTGACGAATGAAATAAAATAAAATATTCCAAAAAGAATTCTTACACTCGAACGACATTGTTCTCTGTATTGCAGGTAACGTGAAACCATGTGCATGGATTCACTAGTGAGGGATCCCAACTTTGTAGCACCTGACTTGGATCTTCGAGAGCTTGTCTTAATGCATGAAGTGCGTCACCTGCACAGATAACGTAGGAACAGAAAAGTTGACATCCATTCGAGAAAGCTACGACTGATTCCACATACTCGATAATTATACATCTGTCAATGACTTACACACAGAAATTTCTAAATTCCAAATTCGACCCCAAAAGAGAAAAGTACAAACGATGGCAATTTAACTCAGAAATCTACTCTACTACTGGATCTCTGGTCAAAGAATGCGATGATGATGAAGATTCTAAATTCGTGCGGCAGGCATGTTCCATTCGAACAAGGTTTAGAAAGCAGCTATCGTTTAGAACATGTAAACATAGAATTTCAACTTTCGCAATTCTAGTGACTATATTGAGATTCGTTACAGCGTGACTAGAAAAGAGAATCCATGTAATCAAAGTTCGATTGACCAAGGTGGAGTCTCTGCTTCTCACTTTCCTATCCTCATTTCTACACACTAGATGTCAAACGAGTGCTTCTTCACCAGACTCCTGGGATTGTTTTGGGGTCGACCCCGTGGAACACTCAATCTCAAGAACACTGCCGAGCTGATCAATCTGTGCGATATTGATCACCAAAAACAGTTCCATGAAACCGGAAGTACAACCCTAAGATCGCACTTTCATGTGTGACGAAGAAACCACCCAAAGCAGCGTTTCAGTTTCTTCTCTATGCAAGAGACCGAAAAGTTTATTCTCCATAATACTAATAAACGTCAAAGTCTCAATCCAATCCAGGTGGGATACTCCACACCGCGACTACCTCAAGCATGGATCAAATCTATTTACGTCTGACATAAGCCACTTCGCTCTAAGGAAATCCTTAGTATTCGCAAGAGAAACCCAAATTTCAGCGTCCTATCCGCTTCGCAAACTTCTTCAGATTGTTGTGTCATATGTATACAGCTCGGCTACTGGGGAACATCGGCGCTGAACCAACGCATGATCTGCTTGGTTACAGAGTGGTTTGATAGGAAAGCTCGTCTATGAGACCCCGTTGACCAAGTTCTTCCTACTCATCCGACATTCTCGGAGCGACTTCGAAAAATCCCACAGAATGTCCGTCGTTTGCCAGCCTTTTAGCTCGACTTTCGCAAAATCCGGTGTGGCCTACAGCGAGAAACTATTTCCCTTAGCTAGCGTTCAAGGATGAGTTCAGAAGTAAACTCATCCTAAGATGAGAAGTGCAAAGTACGTTATCAGCCTCAAAGGGCACAATAACCACGGATTCTTCGACCTCGAGATCAATAAACTACCCATCGAGGACAAACTTGGGCTCGAGGTAATACACATCTCGATAAGTTGCATTCTGATCGACAAGCAATACTGGCTTACGCGCAACAATTCATTTCTCCATTCCCGTTCCGCAAAAGTAACTGGTTTGCTCCCCTCCCTGATCTCAGAGTTAACAATGACAACCAGGTCGGAAATAATGGCTTCATTATGAGGGCGCCAGTGAGAGACTTCCTGTCCGATGGAAGAATGATGCAAGCTTTGCGGGGCATGCACCTGCTACTACGCGTAACAAGCCTAGACTGACTTCCTTGCGGTACATTCCGCGGCAGTATGAAACACGCGACCTCCTTCTCCTCATATCTGTTTGTATCCTACCTCCACAGCTTACTTATTCGATCAAGCACTAGTTCAGCCTATGTGGAGACTTCGTCCTGTAACAAGTAGGGGCTGGGCTTTCAATGCCAGCTTCACACAGGTTTGCTTGCAACGGGACTTATGTTGAGAAGTGTAGGAAAGGCGCACCTTCATAATTGGCCCGAGTATACACCGGACCATGAAGAAGCAACAGCAACAGCAGCCACACTCTATCGAGGAACCAAGGATGCTGCATGACTAGTCTTTTCCAGAGATTCCAGAGTTCGTTTCCAGCGATAGATCAACCTGCCCTTCTAATACACTCTTCCAGCCTTATTTCCCCGTGTAACGATACCACTGTCGCTAACAGCACTTGCTCGCTTGTGCAACTTCGGCTACTCATCCAGTGGCGACAGGTTTTTACCACCTGCGCCAACTCTCGATTCCTCATGTCATTCTTCTCCCCTCCTCGGCCTCCTTCGATACTTCACCTCGTCTAACAGGCTCGGCAAATGCGCCTTCCTCTCGGCCTCCTCCTCAAGCCTGCGCCCTGCTTTCCACGCCAGTAGCCTCCTTCGATACTTCACCTCGTCTAACAGGCTCGGCAAATGCGCCTTCCTCTCGGCCTCCTCCTCAAGCCTGCGCCCTGCTTTCCACGCCAGTAGCATACACATTTGCCGTCCTTCCTGACCCGCGACTCATAGCCCCGCGAGGCAGGCCTCCGCGAGAGTCCCACGCTGTCCACAAAATCTTCAGTCTCCTTTCCCTCGCCCCCTCTCGTCCTCCTCTTTCCTCCTCACTCACATTCCATCTTCCTGCACAAACCAAACACCAGTACTGGAGATCTCTCTCTCTCTCTCTCTCTCTCTCTCTCTCTCTCTCTCTCTCTCTCTCTCTCTCTCTCTCTCTCTCTCTCTCTCTCTCTCTCTCTCTCTCTCTCTCTCTCTCTCTCTCTCTCTCTCTCTCTCTCAGATTGTGAACTGTCTTTCTCTAGCGATCGTCCGTCGCAATTTTCCCTCTTCACAATAAATCCGATCTCTCTCTCTCTCTCTCTCTCTCTCTCTCTCTCTCTCTCTAGCGCGGGAGGCTCAGTAGCTTCGCCAAATCTCCAGGCTCTGCGTGATTGACCGCCGCAGCTTCGACACAGAACAAGACGATTCAAAGCTCGATGCACGTCGTCGGAAAGAAGCAAGAGGCAGCAGCATCGGCATCAGCTGCTGGAGATCTAGCGAGCTACCCAACGCAAACCTCGACCTCAGCACAGCAAGCGAGCAAGACCAGCAGCACCAGCAACAGCTGTGATTCTCTTTCTTCCTCCCCTCCTCCTCCTCCTCCTCTCGTCCTGGTCCCCCGAGCCTTTCCCTCCCTCCCTCCCTCTTTTCCAGTCCCCTCCTCCCTTTCCCTTTCGTTTCCTCTCAGCGCCCGAGTTCTCGTCTCTCTCTCTCTCTCGTTCGTTCCTTCGTTCCTCCTTCCAGTCCACGCCCCGCCCCGCCCCGCCCCCCGCGCCTCGCCCGTTGCCCCGCCCCGCCCCAGCCCCGGCCCCGGCCCCTATCCCTGGGTCAGCAGCAGCTGGCCAGAGTCCAACCCGGTCGTGAGCAGCGCCGGAGCGCAACCCCGGGGGCTGCTTCCTGCACATCCCGTCGTCCCGACGACGGGAGTCAAGTCCCGTCAACCTGCAGTGTAATAATTTCCGCTATTTTCGTCATTATTATATCACGCCCAGTGAAACTAGCGAGCAAGCACCAGCCCGGCAGTAATTTCCTGCTGCGAAACTCCGCCATTTATGGTTCGCTCCTTTTTCTTTTCTTATAATATTGTAACGGTGTAAGACGAGCGATAGGTTGGTCGGGCAGCCCCGGGCAGTGCTCCTCCGTCTTTATGGATACTGTTAAATAGAACTAATCCTCATACTCTTAATTTATCATCCTCTTGGTCCCCAACCTGGACTTCCGCGATTTCTCTCTTCCTTTCCACCGCTTTTTGTTCCTTGCAGTACTCGTACTCTTTCGCGATTGCACCATCTTTTACCAGTGGGGATTGAGCAGAATTAGCAGATTTTTTATTTTACGGCAATTTATTCTGCCGTAAAATGTCATTGAAAAGAGGTGGCCCACCCGTCAAAAGTCCTCATCGATCCATTCTTTCATCCGATACACGACTGTTCCCGTCACTCTACACTTCGTAGCGCGAGAAGCCAAAAAGTACCAAACTTTTCACGCTCGGTGCATTGTAATTTTTCTAGTTTACACGATTCAGAGAAAGGACAATATAAGAGATAATGAGCAGTACAACAAATAAATAAATGAAATTCTGGTTCGATATGTGATACAGAAACAAAATTTGGGTGCTTGAGTAAAGATTACTCGAGAACGTGGGTGGAGGGTTCGAACCCCCACGAGTTCAATGCTATTTCTTTAAATGTAAAGGATGGTTCACTTCAGTCATTGCGGTTGCCATTTCTGGATCTGCAAGAAAGCACGTACAGAAAACTAATTAGAGCATAAATATTTTCTTCATTTGTGTAAGTATTATTAGATTTCACTTAAAAGGTCCAGACACAATTACTTATAGATCACAACAATTTACTTGATTTGCAATAAAATCTGTCTGATGTTAGCCGACTCCTCTATAGTAGTTGGAATACTTGAACCAAAATTGACATAGTAAACTTTTATAGAATTTTATAATTTTTATTAGTATTTCATAATATGAAATATGTTTCTATGATTATCATAGGCTATTTCTCGATTTGTGAATGTCATCCTTGCGCAAGGGTCGTGCTAATCTTCACTGTATAGTTTCAATCTTATCGGATGTCACTTCTGAAAGTCCGATAAGATTGGAACAATACAAATTAAACAAGTACAAAAACTATTCAAATCAACACACAATGAAATACAACAAAAATTTAAAATCTTAAATTCTTCATGTGTAAAAATATACATACTATAGAATTTGTAAAGAAAAATGAAAAAATTTTACAATACATTAATTAAAGTGTATTCCATAGAGTAATTATTATACAACTCTCCAATTGAAAATAACATATGAAACAAAAAATTTGTGATTTCATACAAGATTTCTTGATGATTAAACTATTGAGAGACAACCCCATTTATGATTTATAAATACTCAGATTTTGAATGCAAAATATACAAATTTCAAAACAATGCATGATATCTTTCATAAGCATTATACAGAAACACTTTTGTGTATAATATTTATGAAATATTAATAAAAGTCCCATTCACAATATATGTATTATCATTTTTTACATAAAAGTTCAATATTCTTTTCCTAAAATTTAGCCAAAATCATATTTTATCACTTGAACATTGTAAGATTGTTATATCACTTTCTACGACGATGGTAAAAAAATATACTTATTGTGAACTACAACTCACAACACATCAAAGATTATTTATCATTTTTCAAATTTCACTAGATGGGACTTCTTGAATTATATTTTAGTATAGTATATAATCTCGTTGATTTGACAAACACATTGAAAATTTGTTTAAACAAAATTTCTTAGTAAAAGTGACAAAATACAAAATTTGTAACAACCATACAAATTGAGTCATTTTGTGATAGTAGAATCTTTACAATGAACGATTTAAAATACATTTTATATATAATGTAATTTGGAAAAAAATTTGTTACTTAAATAATTGATTAATACTTAAATATGATGTCATATTATTATGATGCCAAAATCAAATGATCATTACCATTTCTGTTCACAATTATCTTCATATCTGACTTAATTTTGAATAAATATATATCATTTGGATGATAGATATAACATACTATGATTTTGAATTTGAATTTTTAATATATATTATCCAAAAACTATTGATATCATTCATTTCTTTATTCAATTCAAATTATAATTTGTTTGCATGTATTAGTTTAACTAAATATTCAACATTGATCATATCAGATATATATTTTTAAGATCTAGTAATATTTAATAACAGCTGAAATGTATGATACCTATATATTTTTATTTCAAAATTAACACATCGTAGAATTTGAAATTTGAATTGCACAATTTTCATCATATTGTGCAATTCAAATAAATAAATAAATATATTTTTTATAAATAATAATAAATATTTTTCATATTATATATACCAGAATAGAAATAATTAATATATATTGTATAAATTGGTTGAATTTTATTTATTAAAAATCTAAATATTTATATTAAGAAACAATATAGTAATGTTATACAAATGTAACATGATTATGTCAATTTGAATACATGATAAAAAAAGTTCTTGACAAATTTTTAATTATTCTAAGAAAATACTGATTTGTTAATTGTTATTTGCTGGTCCGCAATATTTTGGAAAGAAATTTAAAAAAATATTATTATCAATACAGAAGATTAATTTCTTAACATATTTTTAATGCATCAACCATTATCATACAAGCTTATATCAAATCACATATTTATTTTGATCTAATTTAGAAACTGACATTCATTTTACAGTTTTAAGTCATAAATACATATGAGAGTAAGTTCAACCAAATTTGAAAGAATATCCAAATTCGCTATGAATCAATATCATACATGGATTTTTTTTGAATTTTAATGATCATTATTATAATCAAATCGTAGCTAATTTTATTAATTGCTTATTGCTACAGATTGCAATTATGATCTTCATATTTATATCAGATTTCTAGAATGAAAAAAAGTATAATATGAATTTAAGTCTAAAAGTTGACTATTTCATTTATGATTTGATAAGTAACAATATTTTGAGTTATTTCTGATATTGAGCAGTAGATAATTGAACTCATGATTTTCATAGTTTTGCCCAAATTGGATGCTGATGATATAGTTTTAGCCTGGAGACTTGTGAAGCATATGAGGATATTTCATATTAATTCAGACAAAGTATTTTTTGTATTTGAATCTTATCAACAGTTCCAACTATACATTATTAAGGAAAAGATTTTAAATTTTATTAAAGCTTTTATCTTATAGTTTTTCTCACTCCTGTTGTATCCTCCACTTCCCCTAAAGTTTTGAGATTTTCTCCCCATTCAGTCCTTGAATACTTGTTAGTCTCAACGAGGAGAATAGTATTCTTTCCAACCAACTTTTCTATATAAACATGACACATTCTCCATTTTGCATATATTTTCATCATGAAAGTATATTGTGATTTTTTTTTAAAATTATTGTAGTAGACAGGAATAAGCTCAACTTACTCCCATTCAAGGGTCAATACGTAGATATGCGATTTACTCAATGAGAACTACAGTAAAACCCCCGCTAAGTTATCCCCCGCTAAGTTATAACCCCTCGTAAGTTATCATCAATTTACGGAACAAACATTGTTCTATGAGGACTAAGTTATAAAGCATAAGTTATGTCCTCAATGATCAAAATAACTTTTCAGAGGTTTTTTATTACTGCTTAAGCCAGCCATCGAGCGTCGCTTGTTGGAGATTTTTGAATCGAATGGTGCTTTGAATTCCACATAGCTGAAAATGTACTTGGTGCTCCACAGGATCCGCTGGATTTAACATTGAAATCACCACCGATAATCCTTTTAGCTTTTCTGCACGTGTAAGTTGTGCTGGTTCCTCCTCCTCAGGGTCTCCGATGGATGGGTCATTCTCCTGGCCAGTGACAAGGTTTGCGATCTCCTCGTCATTCAAAAACATATGCTCCACACCGCTTTCCTCGATCAATTGACATTGGATCCCGCAAAGGTAACCTGTGTAGAGCATCCGTGAGCTCTTCCTCGACCTACTCCTCTTCTAAAAACGCCCGACGGTCGTCTTCTATAGCCTCGAACAGTCCTGTGTGGCGAAAGCAGTCTTCGATCGTTTGCTGCGATATCTCGTTCCATGATGCGAGGCACCACCTCATTGCGGTAAATTGATCAACTTTGTAGAGGTTGACATCGTTCTTCTCGTCACGATCCAATGCATTTTGCAAGTGGAAGCGTCGGTAATGTCTCTTGAAAGCAGCGATAATCCCAACGTCCATGGGCTGAATCTTTGACGTCGTGTTTGGCGGTAGTGGGCATACTTCAACATTTGGAGTTGGGCACTCATCAGTGATATGTGAAGGTGCATTGTCCATCAACAGTAGGATGTGGCGATTTGCGGCACGCATCTCTGCATCAAAGCGCTTTAACCACTCTTGGAAAAACATCTCAGTCATCCATGCTTTTTTTTTTGCTTGGTAATAAAATCCAAGCTGTTCGCCAGTTTTGCGATTGAAGCAACGAGGTTTCTAGGCGTGTCCAATGAAAAATGGCGGCAGTTTGTGAGACTGATTGGAATTTGCAGTGAGTGCGAGAGTGATCATGGTTTTGTACTTTTTAGAACCAGCAATACGTTGTTGGGCAATTGTCGTATCTCGCACCATACTGTAAAAAAGGCCCGTTTCGTCCATATTGTAGACATCTTCCGGATTGAAGGCAGCAATACGGGCCCGTGATGCTGGCATTGCCGTTTCGATCGCATCATCATCGACTGATCCGGCTTCACCATGGATTTTAAAGCTCTTTAGTTTGTTGCGGGACAGGAACTTATACAACCATCCATTTGAAAATTTGATGCTGCCTTCAAGTATTTTGAGCATTTCTGCAAATCGTTGACCTTGCGTTTTGATGAAATCGTATGTAATGAAGACAATTTGGTGCTGGCACTGCAAGATCCAGAGTGAAAGTGCTTCTTCAAGATCTGGAAAATTCACGGTTCTCGGCCTTTTCGCGTGAAGCTCGTGTTCATCCATTAGCTCACAATCATGCTTCTTCTTTAGAATCTTGCTAATGGTGACTTGCGATGGTGCCGCTGTAAGCCAAAATTTTCCCTTGGTCCATGCTGCAACTTCTGCTTGCGACAACAAAGCGTTGGCTTCCTTGTATTTACAGATTTGAAGGCGTTGCTCATTGGTCAAGCGTGGTGCCATGCTGCTGCCGATGAAAATAGTAGATGAGCAAGGAGTGCGAAGAAAAGCGGAGTGAAGGGGCGAAGAGCTGAGGACGAAGAAGTGAGAAGAGGGGTAGAAGGGCGGGGCAGTGCGAGTAGCGAGCTTCTAATATTACACTGCCTAGATGACGTACATAGTCAAAATGCACTTTATTGGAGCTCCTGATTGGCTACGGTACAAACCTCCCAAAAGTTATAACCTCTCGTAAGTTATCAAAATCCCCTTCCACCGAGACTATAACTTATCGAGGGTTTTACTGTAATTTAGATGTGTGTCCTAAGAGTTGGAATGTTATCTAGTGGAAATAAACATTAGTCCATTGATTACCTTCTTTCTAATTATAATCTCTCCTGCTTCTGAACTTTTGCTCATGATTATAGATTCTTGATTTCCGTACTGGTCATGGCGAATTAGCCTTCATAGGCTGCAACATCACAGGAACAGAAACATACAACTTTACTAAGATTTTGCTCGGGCATCAACAGAAAAGATTCACTAGGCAAGAGGGAATCTGTATGCATATGCTGCCAAGCTTTGAAAAGCTAGCGTGTGAACATCCGTTGTCCCCAAAATTGCCTTTCCTGTTCTTTCCTGATTTCAACATCGTATGCAACAAAATGAACAAAAACTCCGAGTGATGCCCACTCCCTTCGGCCAAAAGAGGTATATATCTCCTTCGACGAGTTCTTTCAGTCCCTGCTAAGCAGATGTGGCGAAAACATGCTCAGAACGAAAAGTGGTTCTCGTCGCTAATAAGCAGGAGACTCAAAAGTAAAGGCTTGTCAATTGTGCAGACTCCACACTTCAAATCTCAGGGAAAGTTTGAGCTTTGTTGGTAGAACGGCTGTCTCTTGTCTGTCTACACTATGGATGAGCGTCTATCGGCTAAAAATATGAAGGATGACCATTCTCCAACCTGGTCCAAGGCTGGCGGGGCCGACAGTTTTGTCACACACCGTACGACGTGTACGTCATGATCCATCGGAATGGATGAGGTACACATGATGACATGTTTCCCATCCCACATGCAAACTTGACTCTTTTTGACCGATGCGATGATAAGTATGTGTGATCCTCGCCCTTTACATGTGTCCACATGGTTAGAAGCATGTTCTGACTGTATGTTCATACATTCGTATGACCATGTGTGTCATACTTGCACGATGATAGATTTTACTCCACATGGGATGAAGATAAAATGTGGATTCTATGCTCAAATGTCAGCAAGCAATTTAATGATAAGTAGTAGAAGATTACATCAAGCTTCAGAAGTGCGAAACAAACAGTCAATATAATGTTAGGTTGCATATAGTATCACAACAAGATATATGTTATACAATATATGATATATTCAAAAAATCATATAATTTCATGAAATTGAATTTTTAAGACAATAAAATTTAAATTTCTATATGTTGTAAAAAAATTTATGTTGAATAGATTTTGGATTGAATAACTGAAAAGAAGATAATATAGCAATATATTTCACAACAAACTTTATTAAGCGTATGCATGCAAATCATGTATATTAGTTAAATTATATTTTTGATTTTATGGTGATTCTATCAATACAAATTAAATGTCCATTACATGGATGCAATTCAATTCAACTTTTGTTGTTATGCAACTTTTTAAATTTAATATGGGAAAGTGTAGATCTGATGGATTAAAACCAATGAAAAATGACATACTTATAAACATGAAATGAATCCGCTTCAACTATAGTCATTTTTTTCCTGCTATGGTATTGAATAAAATATCAAATAATAAATAATATTTTAAAAATTCAATCAATTTTTTTATATATAACATCATTTTGTAGAGCTTTAAAAACATCTTGGCACATTTTCTTGATGATCATTTCAAACTGATTGTTTTAAAGTGTAATATGTTGGTGAGTTATGTTCGTTATCGATTAATATATCATAAAAATATCAGATTTGATCATATCAGAAAATACTAGTTAACTTATGCAATAAATAGATGTAAAGATGACATATTCTACAACCTTGTTGATATGCTTATAACTCTCTCTACTCACTAAACTCTTAATATTTCGAACAAATAGTTTCACATAGCCTGGATAGCCTTGGATAGATAGTTCCAAATACGATCATCTATCTCATGTGTATGTCATAACTGTCACAATTATAATATTTGTAAATGTGATCTGTCTGTGTGTAATATTTTTTTTCCACAGGATAATATATCCAGTCGTGATTCCGGGTCACATCCATTTTGGAATAGAGGTGGACGACCCAGATTGAATCCTGCAGTGAGGTTAATTTAGACGAACTCTAATTATATGAGGACGAGGAAATCGGTATGATATCAGATTGTAGGAACTGATGAACGAAGTTCGACGTTAAGGTATCAGTCCTTCCCAAGTTAGTGGAGCAAATGAGTGATCCGGTTAAGATTCTTTGACTAATAAAATTTAATCTTTTTAATGTTCCTTCCGTAGATTATATCATGACATGGCAGAGATCCTTGTCTGTACTGAACTCCCTCTCTCCGATTGTTTTATATTGTTTTCTTTGACAGTCCCACAAACTGGTTACCCTAATTATAAGAACTGTTACAAGCTTGGTGACTACAGTAATCCTCTTAAACACATCGATAGTAGAGTGAAACGAATCTATGTACTGTACTTACGGAGGATATTCGGATAAAAGGAACTTCCTTCATTTCCAGTATGATCTCGCATCGTGTAGTTGACGCGGGAAAATATGGATATTGTACAGTATTGACCATCGACTGGGCTCAAGAAATATATTCTGATTACTCTCGCGCATTGAACGTTGAAGTTTTACTCAAGAAGCATCAAATATCAGTAAAATAGACATGCAGCTCATTTGGATAAGTGTTGTTTTAAAAAAGAATGTCCGAAAACAAATACAAGGACATACAGGAAATTCTAAAATTTAATGCATATGAGTCATTCTCATATGCTTTAAATATTAGAATTAAACTGCAGATTATGAGTCATATCTGTAGTTTAATTAACTTGAGCACAAACCTTAATAGTTCTTCGCCAAATAGCTGTATGACATAAATTCAATGCGTTGTGTACTTCTATCAAAATTAGATTATTTTTTTAAATAATCGATTAACCCTGGACGTAATCAAACCATACAGTATATTCCAATAAAGAAATGTTATGTTGGGTTTGGTTACATTGGACTTGTGAATTCATCGTTAAAAAATTGTCAGTTTCTGCAATCCAGTGTGTACTCTGAGAATATGTTCTTTCGAGTTCATGTTCCAGGATCATCACTCTTTTTGTCCTCGAGATTAAACTAGTAATTTATTTGAACAAGTTATAGAAAAGAACCTATTTTCCCACAGATAATGTTAGTAGTCCTAGACTTTCTTGCACAGGCACAAGAAGTAGTGGCGACAAGAATGGGAAGAGGTATGGATGCTCCTTGCCCAACATGAACACGAAGGAGAATATTGAGTGGAGTATAGTTCGAACTAAAGTGGGGCCTGTCAATCTGATCACGCAGAAAATGCTCCTCTCCTGTGACAATGAATATCAGCTATCACAGTATTAAGTGCCAAAGCAACCAAACGGGCATTTTTCACCTTATTAATTATATTGTAATCTAACAAAGCCAAAGTTGAGATTCATGGCAACTTTTCATAGCACTTGAGCCCTTGAGCTGTATGAACCAACCTGGTTGACAGTGTCGTTACCTCACATAGCATGAAAAAATAAAATGTTAGATAATGGTTAACGAGGACTTATCAGATGCAAAGGGTACCGGGGTCATTTAATACAAGATTTATCGAGTGACTGTGTCCCAAACTTATCGTACCAAAATCAATGATGTAGCGGGTTAGCTTGTTCCCAGATTCAGGCGTAGAGGAGGAAACAGGATTTACGAGGGAAACTCCTCACCAGTTAACATGTGATGATTACGTGGGTGATTGTAACGAGGCTTTACTTGTAAAATGGTACGACTCTCCTCGAGCGGCCCTTTGGCAACCGTGATTTCCGGTTGACACACAGTAATCTGTCGAGCCACCGTACACATGCGCAAGGTAATTATTATCGGGTCAGACTGGATTACCGTAACACGATAAAAGGACGATCGCAGGACATGAGGCTTTTGGGCCAATTCGCTCTGCGCCTCCCTTTCTGTGGAGACATACGGATCATGCTGGGGGACGAATTATGTATCATACGGCTGGGATGCTGCTGCGGCTGCTCGAGTTGAGTTCATCTGTTTAACTAAGTTGAATTGAAGACTTGACTTGAAGACGGCCCAACGCCAAGCACAAGCATCAAGACGCTCCGCTCTTTTCAACCAGTGAACGCTAATCGGAGGCAATTAATACGGGCAAAAAGCCTTCTCGTGCCCAATTTATTTGCGGTATTCCTATCGCATGATCCTGCCCTTTCATTCTGAGTCGCTTTCCGGTTGCATTTCGCTAACGAGAGAGAAAATAATGTCAAGCGGAGGTATGATGAAGGTGCTGTGGTGTGCCCAAACATGGCCGCCCTCTTGGCAGACACTCGATACGAAGGACAGTGGAGAGCTTCGGGTCTCATCAGAATTGAAAGAACATTCAACCGTGAATGGTGAAAGCATCTGCCCGCCCTTTGGAAAATCGAATTAGTAAAGCCGTGAGATTCCAAGAAAACCTCATTCCCAGAACAGACCTCGGTCACTCACTCTGGTCTCGGCTTTTGCTTTGTTGACGGTGTACGTGAGTGGAGCGCGACGCCCATTGACTTGGCTTTCTAGCAAAAGAGAGATGCAAGTCAATGGGCCTCATGCTCCGGTCCGAGGCACGTTTTGGATCGAATGGGGATGCGGCTTCTTCGTCTCCGAACACATGGACCTAAAGGCGTTGGCGTTCTCGTTGAGGTTGGTCTCGGTCTGGGGCTGGGGGGCTAGGGGCGAGCGGGGGAAGGAAAGCGCGCGAGCGTGTCCAGAGCAAACATCGGTCCTTAAAGTCAAAATCGTAGACTTTAAGAACAGTGCGAGCGTCTAGAAGTTCCCCTCCAGAGGACGCGAATGTCAGTTGATCGATTCCGTCCGCCTTTCGGAAGGAAACGTAGAGTGAAAAAGTTATCATCTTCTGACCGAGGTTGGTCCCACACCTGCAGGCAGCTATGACCCCTCCGGACCGTGACAGGTTATTTCCTCCCGATCGTTGATATGACATTCAGGAACACTGCTTGCGTCCAGTTTGGAGGACTGTGTCCCTCAATCTCTTGTACTGGTCTGTGCGGCATCAGTGGTCGTGAAGTCGCACGAGCTGCTGCTCAGACTCACTTCCTTCTCTTTTTCTCGACATATGTTCTAGGGTGGGAAGATCTCCCATTTCATGATTCGTGTGAAAGATTCTCCTTTTGGTTGCGTATGACACGTACCAGATTATAAGTCCTAATAAGTCCTTTGTGTTGTTCAAATTTATAAGCAACTGCTTAAAGGTTTTACTTTTCGCATTCGTTGATTTTTTCCGTAGAGAGCCCACAGTTTTTTGTGATACTTGACAGGATTTGAGACTGGCGTGAAGTTTTCATCAGCAACGACCTGGCAGACAGCTGCGCGAGTCTCAGTGCTGCTGTCTGTCTGACTGAAGTAAGACTTTGAGCACAACATTTGGTACGACTCAAGGGGCACTGCGGACAGGCCACAGTACAGGGTTTGTGTGGATCGTATCATCATATTCAGACGAGTCGTCCAATAAAGGAATTACAGAGACATCCTACTGCTTACTACAATTCTTCTTCGCCAGCAAGCAATCGGTACAATAATTGCATTCTTGCAATGTAACAAGCTGGATACCTGCGATACTGTACACAGACCTTACTTAATCCGCACCCTTACATGAGTCATGTTGTGAAAAATTTACTCTACTAGTCCTCTTTGGACTGATCCTTTAGGCTAAGAGCTACACCTATGCCGAGAACTGCTGTTACAACGCCTAACGAAACCTCAGTTGGCACATGAAATCCTGAAAGGCAAGATGATGATTGATTAGATGGATTGATGATGATGATGATGATGATGCATTTTGTAATAACTGAAGCTACTTGGGCCACATTCTCAGGTTTTATCAGATATGAACACAGCGACCACTCCTCCAAAATAGCCTCAGAATTCAAAACTTGCAAGTTATGATTTCAGAGGAACAAACAACCACTCGAAAAATGAACAGGTCACTCTGGAGACACACTGGACTGCTGCATGCCTTGCCAGGGAGTTGTTAGGTGCAACACTCAATAAAGATGATCGATAGCAAGTAAGTACATACTGTAATCACCAACAACTCGATGCCTAGTTCGAAAGTCAACCGTATGTGACGTCAGAATGAGTTTTTAAGATATACTCACCGAAGTATTCGCTGATCATCTTGCAGCCGATAAAGCCCAGCACCAGTCCAACGGAAGGCTGTTCATACAAAGATAAAAGTATAAGATTTGAAACATGATTTTGATGTTTTACACCACGTCCTTCACAAAATCCAGGAGCACTATGCTTTGAACAGTAAGGAACAACGGACCTGCAAATATTGCAGCTCGGCCATGCTGCCAGAAATGATTGTGTACAGGGATCGTAATCCTGTACAGATAAACCGCCGAAACAATCCGTCAAGCAACAAAACTAAAAGTAAGAAACTCATGAAGGATGTGAGTACGGACCTCCCCAGACAAAAACAGCCAAAAACGCTAGAGGGTTCTTCTCCTGGAACTCACCAAGAATAGCAAAAATGTTGGACGAAAAAACAATAAACGGGTCTCTAGTTACGCCGAACACCGCTGGTATTGAGTCCACCTGAAGAAACGACAACAAAGGCTTAAAACCGCGGCCTCGTATCACCTTGCTGCTGAAAAGAGTGGTGCTTGAAACCAAGAAATGTTTTTGGATTTTGGTAGTTTTTGGTTGTTGTCTCATACCGCAAATGCGATGTCACTGAGCTCCACCACAACTAATGTGAGCAGCAAAGGCGTTGCCTGCACCACAGTAGAAACGTCACTAAGAATTCACACGTCGAATGTAGTAAAATACTTAAAAGAAAGCGCGCCGATCAGTTCAAGATTCAGCACAATAGCAGTGACTTTGATTTTGATGAGTCAATATCAACCAGACTGGATTACATGTGATGCTTACACAGACTGACGGTTTGACGTGACATATAGTTGCAACAGAGTAAAACTTTCATAAACTCTACCGATAAAAGAAAGCACTTGACAGAACTAGTACTCACTTTTGTTACGCCATCCGCAACAGTAAGAAACTTGTTTCCATCATACGTAGCTGCAAGTCCAGGTCCAGAGGATCGTAGATTATAGTCATCATACAGAACTCATGAAGAGAGAAAATCCACATATAGTGAACCTAGCAAGCTTCCCTCTATATGAATTCAAGACGAAAACAACTCAAATCCTTCAGAACGTACAAGTTACTGGGAGAACTTTCCGACAGAGCTTAACAATGAAGTTATTCGAGAGATCATCCTCTTCGTCTTCTGATTCAGTAAAAAGCTGCGGTGATTTGACACGCGAAGGCATGTCAGTATTTAGGTGTCTAACAGCAATACGAAAACGAAGGAAACAAATTTGAGCACAAAAGAAGGCCCTACTGTCTCTCAGTTCCCTAGCGGAACTAAGTAAAAATACGAGGATAATTACTCGAAAGAGATGGGCAAACGGAAGCTGATAGAAATAAGATATAAAAGAATTTGGACGGACCTTGATGGATGAGAAAATAAGGATGGCTGCAAAAAATAAGTTCAATCCTTCGAATCTCTGAAAAATAAAAATGTTTAGCTGTCAGCTACTGTGCACCGGTGCAACTTACATATATTGCACCTCAAACAAAGAACTAGACGAAAGAGGGAACTTGAAATCACGCCACCTACACAACAACCATAATACCTAATGAGTAGTTAACTTCTTAGTCAAGGCGGTTAGTTAACAGCGCAATATACAACGTGATCCACATTTGCAGCAATTTACTTGTGACTTCCTCGCAAAGATCATAACGAAAAGAAAGAAGCACCGTGAAGGTGAATATGTGATTTCAATAATGCAGCTGTACCTCTAGCGACGCAATACCTAGGCCAATCATTGTAGCTCTAAATATGACGGCTCCAGCAATTCCATAAGTGAGAACCCTATTCTGTACATTGACAGTATACACGAGTTTAGATATTTCATGGTCCGAGTCCATCCAGGAGAGAAATTAAGGTCGAAGCTCAGAGGCTGAATAAAGTGAAATTGCAAAGCGAGATGTGGAAAAAAGTAATTGAACAAGCTGTGCACGAAGTAAATGAGAAGTCGTCAATATAGGCTAACATCTTAAAACACTAGGATGAAAAGAACCTGATATGCAAAGGGTACTCGGAAGTAGTTGAAGATGAGGACGAATACGAATAAATTGTCAACAGACAAACTTTGTTCCAACAGGTACCTGCAACCTTATTGCATTCAGGGTGCCCATTTTGTTCATTAGCATACTTGAAAAGCAAAGAATCTCCAACATCTTCGATTACAGCAGACAATACAACGAATTCCTGTCTAACAGATAGGATAAGTCGACAAGGCACATCAAAGTATGAACTGTAAATTACCCTCTCAAAAATATGGCTCCTGCAACGGGGCTGGAAACTCTGACCCAAACCACTCGCTAAACTTAGATCACAACCCATGAGGTCACATCAGATAAATGTCAATATACTTAGAACTTACCCAGCAAAAAACTCAGAGGCCTTGCTCGATCCCTCCTTGAATCCCACAATTGTTCCAAAAGTCACGGCAGCACTTACCTGCAGTCAAATACTATAACTTGAGAGGTGCACTAGCAAACGTGATACAGGGAGACGGATATGGGGTGTAACGATAAAGTGTTTGCTGTTCCGACAAAACAAAATCCTTCTCACATTAACTGCACTTGCAACGTTCAATATATATATATCCATTGACCGTGAGCCCGACATTCAGCTTTGAATCCTATACGGACTCAGTAGGTCCTAAAACAACAAGTCGAGCACTTCCGTCTGATTTTTTAAGCATTCATGAAAATGCATTAATATATGATTCGTACGATGAAGGGGACCTCATCCTTTTACAACTTTCTGCAAGTTTACAACCTATCATATGATATTTCCGTAGGATGTACGACTACGAATATAGATACAACTGGCCCTCAGCCTACAAGTAATGGGTACCAAAGGCTTCAGGTTATGACGGAATTACCCAAAATGCAACTGTTTTTAGAGCCATTGCTTGATCCACTGAGGGTTCTTCGATGGGCAATGGAGGCTCTACAATTTCTCCAACTGCCGACACAGTTTGTACTGCCACCTCCACAGTCTCGGCCACGACCTCAATCCCTGTGCTTGCAACTTCAACGACCTTTTCAGCAGCCTCAACCACCACGGCACCTAAACTCTCTTCCAGCCTTGAACGTGTATCTTCCCCTGTGCTAGAGATGTCATTCAAGCTCGTGTCCTCCTTCACTACAGTACCTGCACCATTGGTTTCTTCTCCAAAGTCTGCTAGACCATCATTTGTTTCAGGGCTATGCAACAAACTCCGATTGGAACCGTTAGTCTCCTCTCCGAAATCTGCCAGGCCATCATTTGTTTCTGGGTTGTGCAACAGAGTTCCTTTATGATGTCCACCTTGCTCCTTCTCTGAGCTGACCTCCAATTTGTCATCATCTGTCGAGACTGGAAGAGAGATTGTGTTTTGCACTGAATTAGATAAACTCTTTCCACAGCAATGATTGATTTGATATGGAGAAAGTGGATATTTCAATGTGAAGAGGAAACCGTTCTGACGGTGTCTGCGGTACTAATTTATGAAGCGCTGCACCAACTCGTAATCTCAAAGCTTTAAGGCAACCTTCATTACTAACTTCCAATACGATGAGCCAATTTGGTCATAACACGAAGCTGTGTCATACTGCTGGTCTTACCTGAGGTCCGCCTATCGTCATCCGCTGACTCTGCTGCACACCGGACATAGAGATGTCTGGAAGATAATCTCCTGGGAGAACCTGCTTGATACAATGCTTCGACAATTGTCAAAAGCGAACCATACTGTATATAATGCGCCTGACAGCAAAAAAATTCCTACAGGAACAATTCGATGTAGTCTGGTGTGCTTCGAGCAAGATACAACAGGATACTCCACAGTCGAAGATTGAAGGCAAACTCAAAGACGTAAATTCGTTACCATGATGTGCTCGATGACCTGATACTCGGCGGGTAAAGCTGGTAGGGGACGGTCCACAACAAGCATGGCGTAATAAACATGAAACCTCCTGCCACAGCCCAGTTTGGAAACCGACGAGCTTAAACATCGCTTGCTATGCAGGCACATCCTCATAGTCGGACAGTACTAGAGATTTGAAGTTCTGAACTTCTTCCAGTCTATACAAGATTTTCAATGCTTACTACCTTCCGAAAAAGAGAACTGGCCTCTTTGCGAAGAAAATGGCTGACTAAGACAAGCTCAGAGAACTCTTCATGAAGTATTCTATTAAGATGCTCTAGTTCTAACGTTTACTAGGTTTTTTAGTCGGGATCAGGTATCCGAAAGAGATCCAAAGTTTTGAAGAAATTTGGTGTCCAGAATTAGTTCTCGAGTGATCAACCAAAAGCGTTGATCGTTCTTGGCAGTGAGAAAATTCGATACGTGCATTACAAAGAAAAGATATAAAGAAGAACGAAGTGAAACAATCCAAAACAGAAGAAAGGAGTAAAAGGTTTCCACGCCACCGCGTCAAGGCGAAATTTGTGGGACTGCGACAAAAATCAATTCACCGGGCTCAGTCAGGTCAGGAGACGGGTAGAATGAAGTCGATGATGGCACCAACCATCATCGACTTCATTACATAGATCAACCAATGATCTATGTAATTAAGTTGAACTGTATACCCATTTCTACTGGTCTCGGATTCGGATGGCCAAAGCCTTCACAACTCCGCTTCGAAATCCCGTTTTGTAGCACAGAGTCTTCATGTGGCCAATCGGGCGTCTTCCATAATCTAACACCAAATGTCCCCTGACGACATTCTGCTCTAGCTTTTTGAAGAGCAATTCCAGTTCATGTTGATTACTTAGTATGCACAATCTCCGTGCACGTAACAACGTGTACACGGATCCAGGAGCCGAGCTGAAGGCAGAGGAGAGGCATCATAAACTTCGGTTTTCCTCAACAACGACATCCATGCTTGCCATGCTTTAGGACGGTGGGACGAATACAGACAGTACATGCCGACAGTCTGAACAGGACTGTCACCACATTTTGGGAGCTGCAGTAATACAATTCTTAGTACTGAAGTTCCGAGCTGAAATTGAAATGGAAAATTCCTTCGACTTTCGGAGCCTTACTCTCGGTTGGCAATGGGCACTATCTCTCCATCCCCGCTTGGCGTCCCAGTGGAATTTCGGATTCAAGTACAGCGATCTCGGCACCGGGCTGCAAAGAGAAGCAGCCATGGGTGGCGCTGCACTGAACTTCGCTCGGAGCAAACTAACAACGACACTCAGAGCCAGACAAATCTTGTCCTTCCATCAAAAGCAGCTCCGACGAGAGAGCCGGACGAAATTCACCTCCACCTCCACCAAACCAACAACCCCGACAGGACAATCAATCAATCGATCAGCTGCCAATCCGCCCTGCACTGTCGGGTCCTGCTCTCTTCCCCTGTGCTCAATCAATCAATTGCAGCGTGCGTCGCTCGAGAACTGTCTCAGCTTCCTCCGGTGTCTGCTGTCTCCTCCTGCCGAGGCCCAAGCTTCCGCTCGAATCACATGCAGCGCTCGGGGGCTCTGGCAGAGCGCTGTACCACCCTATGGACGGCTCAACTGATAAGCTGACGACAAGCAAATGGCAAAGCGACAAGTTTCCCGAGTTCGGAATCAGATCCTGCGCCTTCGGACCCCTTGACCCCTCGGGGGGAGTTGCAGCACGTTGCCCAGTTTCGCCATCTCGGGGGGGGGGGGGGGGGGGGGGGGCTCCGTTCGTTTGGAGCAGTCCCGACGAATTAGAGGAGCCGCGTCTTCAAAGCCCGCCATTGGCCACGTGGCTCGTGTCCACCCCGAGTTCGTTCAAAAATCTCCATCTCCCGGATAGACCCAAGTCTCCAGGACGACCGGCCACACGCTCCCCGAGCTTGCGTGGCTCCTTCCGCGCCTGCGACGTGGCATTCGAGCACTTGTGAGCCACTGGGCTGCCCTCCCTGCCCCCCGAGGAGGAACGAAGGCACGGAGGCAGCGAAAGTGCAGGCGATGGAGGACGAGAACGAGAACGAGGAAGAGGACGAGAAAGAGAAAGAGAAAGTGCGCCATGACGGTGGACCATTCCCGCGTTCGCAGCCCGATTTGCTCTTCAATGCCTGGAGGCTGTGGTGCTGACGAGAAGAGCTCCGACGATCTGATCTCTTCGGGGGTGGATATTCCGACAGCTCAAGGTTCACATGAACTAGATGCCAAGGGAAGCGATTGGATCAGACGATGACGCCGTGCGCTGGTGCCGGAGCTGGAAATTTCGCGTCTTAGGGCTGCGCGGGAGAAATTTATCGGGAGATTGAATGTCCAATTCCCCCCGCAGGTGTTTGCCGCAGTCAGTGGTTCGTTCTTTCGCGGGACGTGTCATTTGATTCCGTGGGAAATTCTTTTAGTATCTGAGTTCATCTGGACAGGAAGCAGCGGCCGAGGTCCGACGGTGGATTTGTGAATTTTCGTGCCTGATGCAGCATTGCCCGATTTGCGTTGAGGAGGATGTAGGTTTCGATTATGCACTGAAAGGGTTTTAGTTGGAATGTGTAGACGCTGATAGTTTCCGAGACGGGAGCGATGCCCACGGGGATGCTTTCATTGTGCTCGAGAGCAGGATTAGGCATTTTGGCGCAGGACAAGTCTTACTCTTCCGTAACACCCGCCCGGAATCCCACTCATGCCTTCTTCTACGATCGTGCCTCTCCTGCCGTTCGTTGGCCGCACTTGCACTCCAAGCTCACAGAATCACCTCAAAACCAGCAGCAGCAGACCTCATCTAGTGAAAATGTGGAGAAGCAGGAATTTGGAGAGAGCACATCGTCAGAGCAGTTCACTCCTGCCGGACGAGGGAGGGCAAAAGATAGGCCGGATGGTGGACTTGACAATGCTCAGCACGATGAAACTTCAGCAGTGTCAGCTGTCGACGGAGAAAGCTGTCGAGATGTGCAATCCGATTATAACCTCGTGTCTGGGAAGCAGAAGCGTTGGAAGATGTCGAAGTTGGCCCTCCTGAAGGCCACGGATTGGAGGGAAAGAGTTCAGAGGTTGACCGAAGCCATGTGCCAATTAGAATCAGAGCAGACCGTCGCGGATCTCTTAGAGCGCTGGCCTGAACAGTTGGCCCCCACTGATTACTGCCTCGTGGTCAAGCAGGTGGGCTTCAAGGATTGGGCCAGAGCACTCGAGCTTTTTGAATGGTTGAACATGAAGCACTGGTACACTCCGAACAACCGGATGCTGTCAACTATTCTTGGGGTGCTGGGAAGAGTGAATCAAGTGAATCTAGCAGAAGAGCTGTTCCAGAGAGCAGAACCGGAATTGGGTGACTGTGTCCAGGTGTTCAACGCCATCCTCAGTGTGCATGCTAGGCATGGGAACTGGGAGAGGATGCAGGAGCTGCTCAGGATGATGCTGCTGAAGAGCTGTGAACGTGATCTCGTGACCTACAATACACTCATTAGCGGTCGGGCCAAGGCAGGTTTGCAGCCAGGAATGGCGATGGATTTACTCAGGGAGATTTGGAAAGCTGGCTTGCGCCCTGATACTGTAACCTACAATACTTTAATCAGTGCTTGCAGTAGCAACAAATGTCACGAAGATGCCGTGAAAATTTACGACGAGATGAAAGAGCAGGGATGTTTACCAGACATTTGGACGTATAATGCCATCATTTCTGTCTATGGGAGGTGTGGATTGGACGACTACGCAGAAGAGGCATATAAGACCATGAAAGCCAAAGGATTCCTACCCGACGCCATCACCTACAATTCCATACTGTACGCTTACGCAAAGAAAGGCCGGGTCGACGATGTTGAACTGATCCTGAGACAAATGAAGGATGCCGGGCGGGAGGCTGATGAAATCACTTACAACACCATGATACACATGTACGGGAAGAAGAATCTCACTTCTAAGGCTCTTGATCTGTACGAGCAGATGAAACGCAGCAGGCGGTATCCAGACACCGTCACTTTTACCGTGCTGATTGACGGGCTTGGTAAAGCTGGAGAGGTGAAAGAGGCAGAACGCATTTTTAATGAGATGTCCCAAGCCGCCGTAAAACCATCGCTGAATACATACAGCGCTATGATTTGTGCGTATGCCAAAGCATCTTTGTTCAAGGATGCAGAAGGGACTTTCGAGTGTATGCTACAGGCTGGTATCCAGCCGGATGGTTTAGCATTGTCAGTCATGCTCGACGTCTATTTGAATTCTGGTCAGGCGAATAGAGTCTTGCCCACCTATCAAAGGATGGTAACCAGAGGAATCAAACCTGGCCTTGGCCAATGCGGTCTCATGCTTCGTCTTTACCAGAAGGAGGGTTTGCTCGGTGAAATTGAACGACTTTGTGAAGACATGCGCAGTGCTGCATATGATCCAATAGCCCTGTGCACCACATTCGCCAAGGCCGGACTCATTCATGCCTCGGAGAGAGCTCTGAAGGATGCAAATGCCCGAGGAAGAAAGTTGGACCCGTCTGCAGTAGATGCACTTATGAATGCTTACGTGAAAGCTGGGATGTACAAAGATGCCAAAGAGCTAGTTGATTTCATACCTTTTTCGGATCGCGGGAAAATACGTGAGCAGCTGATCGTCACCCTTGCGAATGGGGAGAAGTTTGAGGAAGCAAATGAAGAATTTGTGAAATTAAAAGCTTCAGGACAAGGAGTTAGCGTAAAAGTTTTCAGATCTTTGATTGTCACCTATGAGCGGGCGGGAATGCCTGAGCGGGCTTTAGATATTTTGAAGGAGATGGAGGAACTCGGAGTAAGGCCTGACGCGGTATGCTTGAAAAGTGCAGTTTTAGCTTCCTGCAGAGTGGGCGATCCCGATCGAGGGCACATGCTGCTCAGGCGAATGGTGGCTGAATTCGGTAGTGTTGGAGACTCGTATCTTCACATGTACGTAGCAAAAGCTTACATCAAGCACCAGTCTTGGGATAATCTGGAGTCCGTTTTAGAACATGTTACTAAGTCGGGTCTACGCATCTCTACGAAAGACTATAATACTATTTTGCTTGCGCTAGCTGAATGCGGTCAGTTTCAGCAACTGGAGAGATTGGTGCAGAAAATGATTCTAGATGGTTCATCTCCCAGTTCGAGCTTTACAAATGCCTTGCTAGAAGCAATCCTCAAGGTGGGGAGTATGGCAGACGCCGCTGATGCTCATCGAAGATTCAGTGAGTTGGGAATACCAACTGACATGGAGACTGATCTGATGATGCTTCAAGGTTTTGCCAAGGACCTTAACGTGGTGAAAGCCAAAGGTATATATCGCGATTCTAGGATGAAAGGCTATTTCCTACCTGTGTGGGCATTCAAGGTCCTCATCGGCTTATTCTCTAAAGTAGGTTGTCCAGAAGACGCAGAAACCACATTGAAGGAGATGCAGCAATCGGGTTATCAACCAGACACTTTTGTGTACAATGCCATGATCAGTTTGTACAGCAAAGTTGGAGACTTTCAAAAAGCAGCTCAGGTATTCCAGGGAATGAAAGATGTTGGATTTTCTCCTGACACCATCACTTACAACACTTTAATTCACGTCTATAGCCGCCGTTTGTTGGTGAGAGAAGCCTATTCTTTGCTCCAGCAAATGCAGAAGGCGGGTTGTGCGCCTGATCTTGCTTCGTACACAATGTTACTTTCTGCCTATGGGCAGATGCAAATGTGGGAAGCAGCGACGGCGTGCTTCAAGGAGTTACAAGAACTTGGAATACAACCGGATGAGGCAACATATAACATCATGATAGACGTGTATAGAAGATCTGGTAAATCTGATCTCAGTCAGGTTATTCTGTCCCAAATGAAGGAGCAAGGTCTTGAACCGTCTAGAACCACAATGAGTTTGGTGATGGATTCGTATGGCAAAAGTGGTGATACTGAAAGCGCAGAAGCTGTTTTTGATGAAATGGTTGAGGCTGGTGTTGACGTTAACGTCATTCAGTACACGTCTCTGATTGATGGATATTTGAAAGAAGGTAAGTTTGAGGCAGCTGTTGCCAAACTTAGAAGAATGCAGGCAGAGGGAATAGTGCCCAACTACGTCACTTGGACTTGCTTCGTCGCAGCCGCCAGTAAATGTGAAGAAAGGAAGGATGCCTTGATGCTTCTGAAAGCTCTGCAAGAATGTGGATTCTCACTTCCGTTAAGGTATAATCTCCAAAAGCACACCTACAGTCACACAGAGCGTAACTGTATTGCAACCTTATAGAGGCTATTTGACTAAGACATGAAGATGCGTCGAATCAGTGGTTGACAGACACTTAACCAATGTGCAAATTGTGTATCAGTTTAGAGAGTAGATTTGATCAATACGATGATAACATCTACCCGATATTCGTCTTTTCTCGGTGCATTATTGACCGCGACTGTATCCTTGTAGAGTATCTTAGATCTGTGTTTGGAGTCCGGCTTGTGCACTTTTGTGAAAGAGACATGTCATCAGTCGCAATTTCTATGATGTTTCACTTGATTTTGACCTATTTTAGGGTGTGCGAAATCCAGACTGTTGACAGAAAGGAGTCGTTCATTACTCACGGAAGTGGATGACCTGACTTCAAATTTTCAAGCTACTGGCACTGGTAGCGGATCTGGATTTCTCAACGTCCTGCAAGACCTCCTTTGGGCATTTGAAAAGCGTGCGACTGCAGCTTACGTATTTCAATCTGCCGCTGATAAGAATATTTATGGACGAGATTTCTTCAGGTATGGCTAAAGACATTGAAACCAGCGCATAGCTGGAGTCAACTGTTTGCAACTGTCCAGTCTTTTATGTAAATTGTATGTATCCAGATATGAACGTTACATTTGTACTCTTGCACCGAACATTCTCACAAGCGCACTCTCTCGCACAAGTTTGACTAAGCGCTGTGTGTTATTTTCATATATGGAGCTTGTAACCTCATGTGACAGTTATCCTGTAGTGTGTAAATTAGATAAATAACTGAGTTTTCGGTAAAATTGTACCGAGTATTCTAGTTGCTCCTTTGTCATAACTGGATCATGCTCATGGAAGGCCAATATGATCAATTTTGTAGAGTTGAAGAAGGAGACTGGGAAGCTGACTTTTGCAAACTCTCGCCTGGAGCTTCTCTCGTAGCATTGCACCTCTGGCTGATGCAAATGCAGGTTCGCACTTAGATCATCCTTGCTTCTCTTCAGTGTACATTATCGCCTTATGTGAACTTATGTTATTCCTAAGTATGACTGGAGTTGTAAATGGCTTTTCCAAGCTTCACAAGCCAGTGTCATGTACGCCGAGAGTATCCGTTCGACGCGAATATGTCGCTCAGTGCGTGAAGATGACACTTCAGCTGTAAACCAATTATGGATGTCGTGGATAACCTAGTTCGAACTCGTCACAACCGGAACAGAAGGTGTAACTTTGAAGAAGCTGGCTGTCTCTTACGGCAGTACAATGGTTGTCCGCATAATTCGTTTTCTGGGGACTATTTTCATCATTGATTCAGACAGTCTTCGGATTTCCTTAGCATAACTAAACAGCTCTGTCAGCGTTCAATAGCAGCTTTAACTTGACTTGTCCTGGTGTGTAGGAAGCAGCGTTGACAGGCAGACCACTGTCGCCAAAGTCAGTGCTTCTGATTATTGGTAGTAGCAAACGGAGCAATCATCAGTCAGTTAACAAGACGCTGATGGCACATCTATGGTCTATGGGTTCTCCATTTCTAGTGTCAAAGACACGAGCAGGTGTCCTCATTGCCAAAGGACATTCTCTTCGTATGTGGTTAAAAGATTCTCCTAAATGTTTTGACCTAGAGCTGGAAGACAGACCGAGCCCACCGGAATTCAACTCCATGCAAGCATACGAGGAGGCCTGGATGCCTAGAGATCTGGTTCCCGCTTTCCAGCAGATAGAGAAAACTATGGGAACAACTTTACGTCCCAAGAAATTCATGAGATTGGTAAACCTGGAAGAAGAGAAACGTGCAGATGTGATAGCAGCAGATATCAGAGGCAGGACTGAGAAGGCTGCAAGAGACAAGGCTAAGAAAAGACACGCTAAAGTAGGTCTAGGTCCTCCAGGTAATAAGTCTAATATTGGTTTAAGCTCAAAAAAGGTGTGAGCCTTTCACGGAAACGATGAACGAAACAATGTCTAGCCTGGAAGGTAATTTAGTCGGAGCCGGGGTTTGAGGTTGGGAGGTAATATTTCTGCTTTTCTACCGATCGTTAAACGACTCAGATCATGGCGACTACAGTAGCTGCTCTCATGCAAGGGTGAGGCATTGCAGACTATCGTACACCCGATACAGTTGTCTTTGGACACCGAGGTAGTCCTGCTGGGATATTTGACGTCAAGACTAAAGATCATCCATGGTACGGACATTCTGCTTCATATGAAATAGATCTGATCTTATCAAAGGTGGGCGTAGCTTAATATGTTTTGCAGGTTGCACTTGTCGGCCGATATCGGTCGGGGATGTGCACAGTACTGTAAACTAAAGCTGTACACATCAAAGCCCAGCAACAGTGAAGGCTACAGACTGAATTGCCACACTGCCCTGTATGGAGGAAGTACGTAATCAAAGCCACAGAAAGGACTCGGCTTTCGTGTGCAGTTCTACCTTTCTTCAAGCGACGGAGAAAAAGACGCAGCAAATAGACCAGGTGGGTCTAGAAATCTTCAAATTGACTCATTCAGTTACTTCTCTGTTTGATGCAAGATATAGAATTATTGAAAGTTTGCGAAGGTTACACCTGCGCCTTTGTCCTCATATTGTGCCAAGAGTTCATACTCACAAAGGCCGGGACGTGCTCTTCTCTTGCAGTTCGATTCCGATGATTATATATGGAGTTGGAGAAACAGCTTATACGTGCAGAAAACTCAATTCTTGTTCTTTCTTTGCAGACAAGATTCTACACAGTAATCAAGTATCTAGCTGGCATCAGGGGATCATCTTAGTTCTTGTAGATACTTCCAACCGGACAAGTTGGTTCAGTCTCTTGTATAATCTAATGCCAAAATGTAAGAGATTAACATCTTTAGCATTTGTCGATTGGCCTTGCTGGCTAACCCTAAACCCTTGCTGGCTACCAATTATGGGAGTTGACCTCATTGTATGGTTGTCTACTTTGACTTGCACTGAACCATTTTATCTCTACCCTGATGAGAACTTGTACATTTTATTATCAAGTCTGGTGCATTGAACTAGATGAATTGCTTACAGATCATGTCTCTCCAGATACACGAATAGACTCTCGTGCACTCGCCATAAATGTGCTCACAATAGGTCTTACTCCCAGGTAGAGTCTGCTTTTCATGTCAGAATTTATTACGTAGCATCGCCACTCTTGCTCCAAGTTCCTGTAAGAATTCTGTCAGACTGCTGTCACTCCCCACCACAACTCAGCCATCAACAGCTCATAGACTTGACTAGTTCTGGAGAGAATGATCGTTCGTAAGTATTACTTTACGACCTGAGTATTGTATCGACAGAAGGTAAATTCTAAGAGCTTTCAGTTTCAACCTTCAGCCTAAATACACATAGTTCGAACCATAAATCAGAGAGGCTGATGACTACGTTTTAAATCCTTAAGGAAAACCATATAATTTTAAACTCTTCTCAGAATTTTTACTGTATTGGTCTAAATCATTTAAGATCACAAAACTCTTGACTCTTCACGACAGTCGTAAAGCAGTCGAATTCTTTTTCTTCTCATCTTACATCTTACAAAAAAAACAATTTTACTTCTTGAGAGGATGATCAATACGGATTCCAGTGAGTGCAAAAGCCATGCATGAGTACTGTTTGAAATTTGTGAACAGTATTAAGTTGTTGATCAAATCCTTGAAACAATTGCACTCTTGAAAATTTTTATAGAAAGATGCAATGGTTTCAGCTTCCCAAAAACATTGTGAGCATATTGCGTGGAAATTCAATGTGTTTTCCTGATGAATATACAAAGAAATAAATGTACCTTTATTTTCATGGTCAAACCATGCAATATATTCAAAATATATTTACAGAAGGTGTTTAATTTCATATACAAGCACGAATCATATAATTTGTGCTGTCGTGATGTTTAGGCGAATATCATGATGCAGGGAATTCTCGATATGAATCACCTCTTTGATACCAAAATTTTGATTCCTTCTGTAATCATATGTAACTGTAATATCTTGCTGCAGATGTAATTATTATAATGGCACAAATTATATACAGTGGTCTTATAAGTTGATGGCGTCTTCTCTGGAAATAATACTCTTCGCTATACGCGCGGGACTTCTATGATTTGCAAAAGTCATCCAGTGCTAATTATGTAGATGCTAGTATAGTAAATGCTCTTTAAAGGCTAACGTATCTCTGATAACTTTCATCTTGAAAGATATGTACTGCAACTCTTGTAAGACCAGCCACATCCAAGTGGAACACATCCACCTGTGTTGTCCTCTCTTGAATTCCAACTTGATATCGATAATTGTTGCCCTACAACTATATTCAGCCAAATCATGGGAGAAGTGATGATCTGGATTGCCTTGAAAGTACCCGAAATGATCATCATCCCGCGGTGATTACGTGAGCGCCTCGGATGTTTTACTCCTCTCCAGGATTTGAAATATCACCTTGGATACCGTGACAAGGATAACTTTGGAATCTTTTGACACAATTGAAGGAAGGATGGTATGTACTATACTTTCCGTATTGTTATCAGTGTCGTGCGACTCGGTATCGCCATACATCATACATCGCTGCCATGCTATATTCACAACTCACACATACATACACAAGGAACGAGATTGTCCACACACAAAGGTATCACAACTCGAAAAGGAATGTCGAAACACAAATACACAAAGAGTCGAGCCAAACTCACTACTCGTAGGTAGACTAAAAGTCGAAGCTAAGGGGAAAAACCCCGACGCGTAAGGCTCAACTCGAAGAACTAACAGTTCTTCGAGTTCACCACGAATATAAACCTGTAAAGTCGACCTAGCCTACGCTCCGCGTCTCAACGTTAGCCGACTCCCAACGTCACCCGACTCACACTCGAATCCAACGTGTCTGAACTCAAATCAACACCAACGTCAATCTGCAATTGCACTAACGTGCATACACATGACAGTTGTCGTGCGACTCGGTATCGCCATACATCATACATCGCTGCCATGCTCTACTCACAACTCACACATACATACACAAGGAACGAGAGTGTCCACACACAAAGGTATCACAACTCGCCCCCCTAGCTGGCGGTCAGGTCCCTCAGACTCCCAGGTAGCCCTATCTACAACTACATGCTATGCACCTTCGTGGGTGCGCGAACCAGTAGGCCAGGTGCTATGTCGTCCCATCGTTAGTAGCCTATCTGCAATTCATAACATGTGAAGATCAAGTCATCTACCCTCTGAAGTACATCGAGGACAAACCCACCGTCTAGTATGAACAACATCGATAGGTGGAGTCAAACACGACATGTGCCATCCCCTAGAACACCTATCACACACCAACATATGGGCCGCCTGATCAGTTGACCCACATAACATGCACCTCAAGCCAGCACGTACAATCGCCAAGCTTGGGTCCATAGTACCATCCACGTTTGGGAGGTGGCATGGCGCACAGTTGCGCACAGGATCCTTCCAAACGACACTGTCACGACCCTCCAACATGAGAATTCCAAAAGGTAACACCTCTCGCACTCGCAAAATAGTGCGTCCTGCTGTCACATCCAACGTAGTCGGTGCATTCTGCTCTAAGTAGACGTAGTCTCCCACACGAAACCTACGAATCGATAGTCGATAACCTCCTTCCCGGATGGTTGCATACCGCAACGTATCCGTGTGCTGTAAGACCGGGTGTTGCACATATGTACTAAGTCTTAGAAGTGGTCAAGGGAATGAGGATGATTAGCCAAGGCATAGCTAAGACTAGCTAGTTATGACTAAACTAGTTAGTTATAACTAAGTTTATCTAGCCATGACTAAGTTTAGCTACAATGTCTATAGTTGGCGGAATAATTAGCGGAGTTCTAGAAGAATGGAGTGAGCACTTCTATTTTGTCCTTTACAAGGAGTGAGCACTTCTATTTTGTCTTATACAAAAGTTCTAGATTCCAAGGGATTAGATATTTGACTAGAAGCTTGGATTTGATTGGTTTGACTAAATGTATGAAAGATGATTGGCTAGACTAAGTCTAATGTTGACTTAGTGGCTAGGAAGCTTGTAGAAGTTTAAAAGCTTCCAATGGCATGTCGCCACCTCAACCTTGGATTCCGGAAGCTTCTAGAAGGTTCAGGTAGGCCAATGGCATGTTGCCACGTAGAGGAGGTTAGTCAAACTTACCTAGGTAAAAGTAAGTTAGGAGAAATTACCACATGTTACTATGGTAACTTCTCAAGTCGTATAAATAGAGAGGTAGAGTAACACCTCTCAAGCAAGTTGGAGAGTCATGTGTGAGTACTTGTTTCAGTAATGAAGGAGTGAAGTTTTTGAGTATCTTGGAGTATCGACGTGTGTTTGCGTTTATGTGAAGAGGGTGATGTGAGTTTGTGTGTGAGTTGGAGTGATACATGAGAGTTTGTGAGAGAAGGTGTTTTGGACATGAGTGAGAGTATAAATCCTAGTCTTCTAGAACCATGATGCGCTACCACAAAGCCATCAGAGGTAAACCTGAGTGAGAGTCAGCCCGGAGGTTGCATTTTTGGTTCCGTTGCCGGGACCTCAATCTAGAAGGCGGAATGTTTAGGATTCGATTTCTAGCTCGAGAGAAAGTATCCATGATGGATCACTTGGTGTTAACATTGGGGAATGAAAGAGCGGAGAGTGTGCTTGAGAGCGAAATTCCTTTTGTGTATCCCATAGTCTCATATGATAGCCTAGAAGTGATTTTGTATGTTTTGTTCACGTAAACATGTCTTTTTGAGAGAAAAGTGATCTTAGACACTGAAAAAGTATTTTTGAAGGTATTCTTTCAAAGTTTTTATTGATTTTAGAGTGGAAGATAGAGAACATTTACGTTTTTGTTTCAGGTCCAGATCATGTGTTAACAGAAAGATATGAGAATTAGAAGTTGAGTGGGTTTTCACGGGTATCAAAAGTCTGCTCTCTGGAAAGTTTGTACAGAGTTGATTACTTTTTCTGTATTTTGAATTAGGCTTTGAAACTTCTTACGAGTGTGTATTGGAAGATAAGCTACGTTTGAGTGAAAATTTCACTGAGAGATCACGTCTAGAGACGAAGTTATGTTGATTTGAAGTTGAGAGGGTACAAAAGCAAGATAACAAAGCAAAAGTTTTTGATTTCTTTATTCACAGTTTTCGTCAAGTAGATAGCGTTTCTGGGAGAGGTCTTTTGAGTGGTTTCTACCTTATGGGAAAATGAGTGAACAAGAAGGTTGGAAGGTTAGGTTATCCAAAGTACCTCAAGGCTTGGATGTTATAGTGTCTTTAGACTTCAATACAAGAGAATTCAAGGTGGAGTTTGAAGAAAGAGTAGTGAGTCAATCTCCAAGAGTCAAACGTGAAACTTGTTTTTATTGTGGAGAGGAGGGCCATAAGGTTGTCAATTGTTCCCTGCGGAACAAAGATAGAAGATTGAGGAGCAAGAGGAACTTGGGAGATTTGAAACTTCACTTGGGACCATCATCGCCACATGAATCCCAAAGCGCGACCTTCTGTGACAATTGCGGAGTGATTGGGCTACCAGCGGGACACGAATGCAGCGGAGTGAAGGCACTTCTGGAATCACTTGTGGAAGGGTTTGACGGCAAGCTAAGTGCTGAAACAGAGAAAGTGACCTCAGCGGGTTCAAGCTCCAACTGAAGATGGAGATCATCATTCGAATGATGGAGAAGATGATGATGAGGGTAAGACTCATCGTATGCCTAGGAGAGGAGAGAGCTTTGGCTATCTTGGAACAACCAATTCCTTTTGTGTTTCCTTTGATGAATTACTCAAGGATGGAGTTAGTGTTGTTTATATTGTATTAGGAAGCCCCATATAAATTTCCAATAGAAAAGAAAAAAAAAAAAAAATTAGTGGGAAATGGGGAAGCTTCCGGTATTTTATGGGAGGGAGAATGAGGATGTAGAAGCTTTTGTTAGGGACTTCAAGAGGGCTTGCATAGGAAACAATGAGAGGAAGAAGGACGAGTGGGCT